ACCAGGACACTCCACAGCACAGGCCTATAGATACTGGCTCATGGGCATCTGGCAAAGTCTCAGCTTTACCTGGATCAGAAGTTAGCCCAGCCAGGTAGCTGCACGCTGCTCCAAAAGGGCACAAGGTACTGTTGGTGACCTTTTCACTGAGTGCCCTGAAGCACGCTGAGTGCCTCAGCAAGTCTGGCACCTGCTGCCTGCGTTGCTGCTGTCTTCTTCTTCTTTTTTTCTTTTTTTTTTGTCTTTTTCGTTTTTATCGGTACCAGGGATCGAACCCAGGACTGCACACTTGCAAGGAAGGCGCTTATGCCGCTGAGCTAAATCCCCAGCCCCACTGCTGTCTTCAAAATGCTGAAAGAATACTGCACCTAGCAAACGGATTTTGAAATAAGAGTAAAATGAGGACATGCTCAGGCAGACAAAAACAAAGGCAGTTTACTAGTCTTAGATCCCTTCAAAGGAATTCATAAAGAACATTCTTCAGGCAGGAAAACATTCTGCAGAGAAGCTCTGAAATGAAGGACTCCTGTACAAACACCATGGTAGACATGCATGTAAAGCTACACAATCCTTGACTAGGCAATCATAATGCTTAATACGGAGACTTAAAATAGAGGAGAAATTACTGGCACAGGCGTACAAACCCTCGGTTACACCTGGAAGACTGGGGTAGGAAGACTCCAAATTCAAGGCAGCCTATTGGATTTACAGACCACGCTTCAAAAAAAGAGCTGGAGATGAGGGAAGTAGATTAGGTTTAAAGCCCTGGATTCAATTTTGGGACTGGTTTGGGTGGACAATAACAGACTAAGATCTAAGGTGGAAAAATAGGAATTTAAGATTTTAAGGTGTCTTTTCACTGTCAGAAAGTAAAAAGAATGATCTTGGCTGTGTTAAAAATTTAAAGGTAAATGTTACACCAAGATGCACAAAAATTAAAATAATTGATTAAAAGATAATTAGCAAAAATAGTTAAAAAGGATAGTTATTAGGAGTATTGTGATTCTGTACTGAGCTCGTTACCCCAGTAACCAAGCACCAACCACAGTTACGGAACTGACGACATTGTTATGATGTTCTGTAGTGTCACCCTCCCAAGTAACCTATGTGCTATGTCAACCTTTGTTCCCCCTTGTAAGAGACAAATGATGTGTCAACCATTGTTCCCTTTATAAGAGACAAATGTTCCAAAGAGACAAATGTTCCTGGAATTGGCAGACCAAGGGCTATGAATTGGCTAACCACCCACTGTGAAATGCCTCTTACCTCAAGCAAAGGGGAACAAAGACCCACCTTGTTTCTGTTTCTCATCGCTATGTACTTAATGATCAATGAGCTAATCATAAATGAATTATAAAAGCCAGTCAAAATTCTAACTCAGTTGCACAGCTTTGCAAATTCTATCTGCACTGTGTTGCTGGGCCAGCTAAAATAAAAGCGCTTCTTTTAAAAAGACGTCTTGCCCCGTTTTTCAACATGAGGCCCTGTTTTTTGGGTGGGTTACACAGTAAGCACTGTAAAACAAACAGAAAATGTAATGAATGAAAGTGACTTGAATACAACATAAGATATGGGGAAAAAAATCCAATATAAAAGAACAAAATGAAAAAGCAGAAATGAATTCATTTGTGAATAATACTAGTTTGTTAAGACAAAAACTGTCAAGATAAAGTGTTAAAAAAAACTCAACAATAACCTGTTTATAAGAAACATACTCAAACCTTAAGGGCAAAAAAGTTAAAAAGACCAGAACATTCTATACAATGCAAAAATTTAACAAGAAGTCTGATATGTTAATATCATACAAAATAGAAAAAAATCATTTCTAAAAGTGGTCATATGTTAATAAAAGATTCACCTCACCAACACGCAACAATTTTAAACTGTTCATAAAATATAATTTCAAAGATAAACAGCATCACTGGGGACGTAGCTCAGGAAGCATGTACAAGTGTCTGTGTCAGATCTCCAGCACCACAAAAATAAAAAATAAATGAATAGATAAAAACACATAACAAAAAGGTAATTTTCAAAATCTATGAACTGTAAATTTTAAAACACACTTCTAAATAGCGGATAAAGGATGAAATCACAATGGTACTTACAAGAAACCAAGCAATGAATTCTTTAAGTGACCATTCCTTTTTTATATCACAGTTTAAAACATCAATCATATAGCTAATGTATTCAAAATTTAACTATGGGTAGATTCTTGTGCCTTCTCAATAATGGTCATTTAGGAAGAAGTTAATTTGAGATAATAAAGGAGTATGGTAAGTTAGTATATATTTTAGAGAAAGCCAATAAAAAATCTAAGTTAATCAAAATTTTCCCAAAATGTATTTCCTTTCCCATTACTTTTTTTAACATGAGAAAAATGAATCCTATTTCTGTAAGTTGGGCAGATTTCTTGCAGTGCATCAGCATTTCTGACCAGCTGAATGCAGATTCTTGCAATTCATCTCCTTTTTCAATACCTGGACTGTCTCACAAAGAGATACTAAGCCTAGGGTGATATACCTCAGAAATAACGATTGAGCAAGAGTATATGAAATCACTTAACACTTTTTAATAATACAGACTAAATTTAAATAGCATGTTGAATAAAAGGAATTTAATATCCATATAGCGAAAAGAGTTAGTTATACAAACCCATGGAATGTCTGAAGGAAAGCTAAATGCTAAGCAATACCTGTAGAACTGTTACTATAAGAGCTAGATGTGGTAGTGCACACCCATAATCCCAGCACTTGGGAGGCTGAGGCTGAGGCAGGAGGATCAGAGAATTCAAGGCCAGCCTGTGCTACACAGTTAAGTTCAAGGCCACTCTGAACTACATGGCAAGACCCTGTCTCAAAACACAGAACTCATTATATGTTAAAAAGACCAAACAAGTTTTAAAAAACTAACAGTTAGGCATCCAGCAAAGAATTTGGAATCTCTAATGTTTTAGTCTGAACAGACGCTCTACAAACCACAAGTAAGTAATTTTTTCTATAAATGACATCATAGATACAGAACTCTGACTCTCCCTTAGAAGAAACACGGCTCAATCTTCTAAATTTCTCTACCAGCCAAGATGAAAATAAACTGTAGTCTCCCACAACCAGAGGTGGACAAATAAAATTTAACAATTAGTCTGTGGTTTGTAAAATATCCACATCCACTAATCATTCGCTGACCACATCTGCCATTTCCAGCAACTGTAAGGAGTATGTCAACAGTCTTCAAAAAAGGTTTTTATTGCCTTCATCAACACCTGAACAGAACATTTTTAATAACTAGTAAAATCAACATAGTTTTAGCCAGGATACTGGTGCACTCAAGCTGAATGATCAACTGTCTTTCTGCTTTTAATACTAAAAACTACTAAAGTACCTATTCACAAACATTACCAGCAAATAGCACCATTGCACAGAACAGTTATTCAACTCAGTAGCCTAAGAGTGAGACTATCATGACTAGCAAATAAAAAGACAGGACACCGAGCTAAATCTGAATGAGATGGAACCCCGGGTGCTCTACCAGTGTGAGACAGAGCAGTCACCAAGCTGCCTAGGCTGTGCTGGAATTTGCCATCCTCCTTCCTCAACCTTCAGGGCAGCTGGATTACAGGGCACAAATGACTCTTAGGTCAGGGAACACGATGGTAATTCAAGTCTTTGAGTCTTCTAAATGTTAAGGTGGATGGTTACCTATTTAGCAGAGCACTCACAAGTCTTAAATGTTGGTACTGAACAAAGAAACACCCTTCAAAATCTTTACACAGACCCCCAAGTGCAGGAATTACAGGTGTGCACCACAGTGCCTTTATATTAAGCTTTACAGGTATTTCTCAGAATTAAGCTTTCCTTCAGGTATTCCATGGGTCTATAGCTAATTCTTTTGGTTATGCCAAAATTAAATTTCTTTTACTCATTTTTTTTATCAATTGGAACAGTCACTACAAATAGAGAGTGAGTTATTTCAGTTATGACTTCATTATTTAACAAATGACTGCTTCTGTGAATCAAACCTCATCACATCAAAAATAAAAAAGGTTTGCGGAAGCCACACTCAAGATATGCTTACTGTCTTCTTTACTAGAGAGTAAAGTGCAATTTCAGGCTGGAAAACTGCCCAGCCAACACTACAGATTGGAGAGGGCCAGCAGGACTCGGATGAAGGGGCTGAGTCAACACCTACAGAGGCTGGAAACTGACCTCAAATGAGTCTGCACCTGTCCTCCGCGGACAGTCTGTGCTTTGTTGGTACCCACAGGGTAGGTGGCATTAGGGCACCATAACTCCTCACAACCCAAACTGTTTATAAAATGACTTAGCCCTATTTCGTCTGGCGCAGGGACCTGACAATCCCTAAGTTGTTTCAGCCACCCAAAGTGCCAAAGTGAGCCCTCTTCCCCGTAGGACAGAAGGAGAAGCTCCAAATGGCACTGCTGTGGGCTCTTCTGCTTCTGCGGGCTCCTTACTGGGACAGCGAGGGACCATAACAGTCCCGCAAAGCCTTCCAGGGCAGCCGGGGCGCTGACCGGGTGCCGGCGGTGAGGCCCTGCCGGCCGCCCTGCCCCGGGCTCCGCAGCTCAGGGCGCGGGTCCCGTCAGAGGAAGCCGGCGTGGAGGCGCAGGCTGTGGGGCGTCTGCGAGCGCCCGGGTGGGGAGGCGCAGGCCGGCCGCGGCGGCGTCCGGTGACGGCGAGAGACACCGGGGTCCGCGCTCTTCCGGGAGAGCCGGGCCGGGAGCCGCGCCGCAGGCCGGGCCGGAGGACACCAGGCCCGCACCTGCGCCTGCACCCGGCGGGCTCCGACCCGCACCCCGCCCCGGAAAGGCCTTCGAGCCGGCCCGGGTTTCCGTACGCGGCCCCGACCCTGCTGCGCAGGCTTCCGCGGGCCCGCGCCCGGCCCCGCGCCGGCTCCCTGCTCACGTTGGCGGCGGCGCCCGCTCCCCGGCCCGGCCCGCCGCCCCGCCGCTGCCCACCTCGCCCTCGCCCTCACGGGACGCGCACCTCTCCTTGGAGTAGAGCTGCAGCTGCCGCTCCTGCCGCTTCTTCCGGATGAACGCCATGAGGGCGGCGCTGGAGGGCCGCCCGCGAGGGTTCAAGGCAGCTCGGGGCGGCGGACTCAGCGGCCGGCCGGGAGCGCGCTACCGCGGTGTGGCTGCCCGAGCGCGACCCGAACCCGACGCTGCGCCCGGGCCGCGGCGTCCCGGCCGCGCTACCGCAGCATCCCAGCGTGGGGACTCGGGCGGCGCAGTGACTCAGGCCCGGAGGAGGGCGCGGGCCCCACCTGGGGCTTTCCTGGGACCTGGGCCGGACCCGGAACGGCCGCGCACGCCGCAGGCCCGCGCCCAAGACCTTTGCAGAGCTGCGCTGGAATGTTTTACTCGGGTAATCCGGAGCTCGCCCGTGCAGCACCAATTTGCTAGCTGCTGGGACGCGAAATAATAGCGTTAGGGTCTTCAATCCCAAGTCTCAGTTGTTGAAATAAGTTCTTACGACTTTTAGCTTTTTATAGTAGGAGATACAACTTACATTACAAACAATTTACTTAAGGTGTACTATCTAGCGATTTTAAATATATTCACAGACACATGCAACTATCATCACTATTTAGAGCATTTTCATCAATTTAAAAAGAAATTGATATCTGTTAGCTATTACTGCCCCAAGCTGCCCATCTTCATACCCCAATCCCTAGCAAACTAAGGAACTTGCTGTCTCTTGAGAATTTGCCTAGTCCAGACTTCTGAGATAAACGTAACCACACAATATGTGTCTTCTGTGTCTGGCTTTTTCCTCTTAGTATGGCGCTTTCAAGGTTGATCTGTGCTGCAGTGCGAATGGGGACTTTGTTCCTTTTTATTGCTGGAACTTACTCCACCGTATGAGTATACTACATTTAGTTCATATATTCATAAACTGAAGGATATGTCAGTTGTTTACACCTTTTGGGTATTAACAAAGCACATGCCTGCACTCCCAGCATTCAGGTGACTGAGGCCAGAGGATCACTGCAAGTTTGGAGCCAGCCTGGGCCACAAAGTGAGTTCAAGGGCAGTCTGAACTGTATAGTGAGACCCTGTTTCAAAAAAAACCAACAAAAATTTTTTAAAAGCTACTGTACACATTAAAGGTACTAGTTTTTGTATGGATGTATGCTTTCATTTCTGTTGAGCAGAACTGATATCTAGGACTGAAATTACTGGGTCATGTGGTAACTATGCCTCTAAAGCTGGGAGAAATTGCAAGCTGTTTTCCAGAGTGGCTGCATCATTCAGTACTCCTTTATAGCAATGTAAAGAGGTTCCAGTTTCTCCATGTTTTCGCCAGTCTGTTTGGTTTGGCTTGGTTTGTTTTTCTGAGACAGGGCCTTGCTGTGTAACCTAATCTAGCCTAAAACTCGTGATTTTGCCTCAGCCTCCGGAGTGCTAATACTGGCCTGGTCCACTGCCAATACATGTTTTATCTGACTTTTTTTTATTAGAGCCACCCTAATGTTATGACATGTTTTATAGTGTTTATGACTTTTTAACATACCCGGAGATTGAAACTGTGATTGTTTACTTTTGAGGGCTTCTTGAATAACAAGTTTCTAAATTGCATGTATGCTAAAACACACCTCATATTGTTTTAAGGGCCAGGTTCTACAGAATTATATACATTTTTCAAGCTTCAAGATTAATGTGCATCTCAGCTCCGTCTAGTAAGGGGCAAGACTCAAGGAGAGCTGGGCAAAACAAGAATGAAATCTTGGACTGGGTTTTTTGAATTGGATCTTTGGCAAAACAAAATGAAATACACAGAATGAATAATGCTAAAAATTTTTGGAACGAACGGCGGTGCCTAGGTACCCTGTGACATGGAATACTTTCCATGTTTCCAAATGCTGCGCAGAACCTATAACTGGTAAGCATATATCAGAGACAATGGCTCGGCACTCCTGTTGGAAATTGTGATCTTGTGGGGTAGCCAATATACAAGTACTTGTGCAGGTACAGGATGAAATAAGATTTTTAAAATTTTGCTAAGAAATATCATGTGACAAATTTCTATATGAGAACTATGATGATAGATGCTATGAATTCAGAGGAGAAAAATTAATTTGGCTGGAATAAGGCAAGAAAGAAAACAAACCAAAATTTAAGTTTTCGTGTTTTGATTAAAAATTAAGAAAGATATGATCCCAGTAGGAGGAGAGTGACAAAGAATCACTCCCAGAGCAAACTGTGGCCAAAGACCCTATGAGCCCTCTTAACTAGGCCTTGATTTGGGCCTGTAAAAACTGCAGGAGTCCAGCACAAGTGATTTGATCCATGCCTCCCCCTGCATGAGTCTTAAGCACTGGCATGGTTTCTAATAGCTCCCTAAAATGACACGAACCTCCTTAAAGGTCCCCAAAAGGATTTACTATTCATTCCATTCTACATCTGACATAGGCCTATTGCATCCTTTTCTCAGAAGATTTGCTTCATGAATCATTCCTTTGTCCCTTTGAGGCACTCGTGATGATGTGTTCCCCTGCAACTCAGAAGGATCTTTTCCAAGGACTTGAGAGCCATTGTTTGAAATGTACTTATCAGGAAGTAAAGGGCCTCTGACCGCAGTCTCTGTGGAAAGATAGAATCCCAAATTTGGTAACTGGCAGTGAGCAGACACAGCTGCCAGTCTCTTTACCCTGAGCAGCCCTTTGTAGTCTCTCACTTCCTTGACTGCCCTGAGCCTTCCATTGCCCCTTCCCTTCTCTGTTGTCCCTTCAGTATGTCCAGGTTTGCACAAGTCAAAGCTGAATTCAGTTCATGCTGACCCCTCTTTTCTCTTACAGCAGTATGTTACTGATTAAAACTGTGCTTACCGCTTTAGGAACTGTCTGGTTTTATTTATCTCTGAGAAGAAAAAGGGGAAGAAACATATTCAGAAAAAGATTTCCTTGAACAGTAGCTCAGAAGAAAGATGCGAGATGATGAAACAGAGAGATCATGATGGACTTTTAGAACGAAGCCATTTCTTCAGCTTCTTCATGCTGAGATCAAAATTGCCACCTCCAAGCCTGAAACTTCAACTGAACTAGACTTTCAACATTTCTCTGGATCCTCTGGTGGGGTTTGGCTAAATCTACACATGCATGTTTCCTGGCTATGTTGTATGCATCTGATAAATTGAAGAACTCCTGTGTATGGTCTTGCTGCCCTTTCAATTTGGCCCAATTGTCAATAAACCCATTTTCCCCTCATTTTTATGGGCTTTCTAGTACTCTTGATGGCAGGCAGGGGTGAGAAGCCGGATAGTCAGGGCCCAGATTCTGGTCTCTTGCTGGTTTCCTGCAACAAGGCTTCGGCTCTAACAGGGCTTGTGATTGTGAAGCTTCAAGGAGAATGGAGATTGGTGCTCCTTCATCCTCCATCGTGGAATCCCCTCCACCGCATCTGCCCTCTTAGGTTCTGTTTTGGGTCTTGCCAGCTGAAAGTGTAATTGCTCCTATCAAAGCCCAATCACTCTTTTCTTCCCAACAATTTAGCTTTCGTAATGATCCTCTCTCTTCCCTGGAGCATTCTTTTGCTTTAACTGTTCTACGTCACAAATCATTCTCATTGAATAGGAATGTTTTCAAAAAGCTTTCCGTTCCTCCTACATTTCCTTCAGGATTCTCATTCTCTGCAGAACTTCCTAAAAACATCTGTGTACATGTGTAATCCTTCCTCTCTGCATTATCTTCACTTCCACTTTCGAGGCTCACTGAATGGTTCCCGCAAATCACTGCACTGGAGTCTTTTCTTTCGCTTCATCGTTTCTAACCTTCAACAGAGCCCCGTATAGTTGACATGGCATTGATTGCACCTCCCTCCCGGAGAATAATGTCCCCCAGCACTTCCAACTTTCCACAAGCTCTTTGCTTTTTCTCCTTATTTGTTTCTTATCCTGTAGTGACCTTAGTTGGCATCTCTCCAGCTTCTTTTTTTTTTTTTTTGTCTTTTTTGGTGATGGGGTCTTGCTTTGTATTTCAGGCCGGCCCTGAACTTGTGGGATGCTCCTACATCAGCCTCTCTAGTGTTGGGATCACAGGCTTGTGCCACCACACTCAATCCTGCTTAACCTCTTAATGTTGATTCTATACTCATTGTCCAGATAATTTCAGCCAGCATCATGACAGAGGGGAAAACTTCTGATATTTTCATTTGCATTGCCTCGAGATAAGTATCGCATCAACTTCATCCCTGGTAAACTCTTCTGTTTGGGGATTACGGGTGTGTGTGTGTGTGTGTAAATTAAATCCAGTAGTTACTTTACAAGGTTTTATCATGCACCTACCAAGGCAGACATGAGGAAAGCTATAAGAATTTACAGCAAAGTAAAAGAATTCAGAGACTGGGTGAGAAATAAGGTTGCTGTGTATGTCCTTTAGGTAACAGAAATTTCACAGACTGTCTTTCATTCAATAGGTGAAATGAAGGCTTAAAACAATCTTTTTTTTCCAATTTTTTTTAATTTAAAGAAAGAAAAGAAAATTAAAGAGAAAACAAAAGAGAAAAAAGTAGAATAATACAGAATTTTTAAAATTAACATCATAAAATCAGTAGTTGATACATTACATATTGTCATCTTACCAATAGTTGTTAAAGTTAAAAAATCAAAGCATAAATAGTGGCTAGGCACTCAAGCATTAACAGTACAAACCCTTCTGTCCAATGATCTAACATAAATTTAGTAATTCAGTCATCTATCTTACGCACTACACATACTGTTATATCCTTTAGAACACTTTCCTTCTCTTTCACTTCTACAATATCTATTATACATTTTGGATCCCATTATTCTATCAGTTCTCATTATTTTTTACACTAGAGAGACAATGTGATATTTATTAATGTGAGTCTTGTTTATCTCACTTATGAGGACATTCTCAAGTTGTCTCCATTGACCTATAAAGGCTTCAAGATCATCCTTTTTATAGCTGAATAGTATTCCATTGTATAAAAATCCCACATCTTTTTCACCCACTCTACAGATGGGCATTTTGGTTGTTTTCAAGTTTCAGCTATCACAAATCATGCTGCTATGAACATAGGTGCACATATATCACTGTGACATGACCTTTTCAATTTTTCTGGGAAAATACCCAGGAGAGGAATAGCTGAATTAAATGGAACTTCCAATCCTAGTCTTCTGAGAAATCTCCATACTGATTTCCATTGTGGCTGTACCAGTCTACACTCCCACCAACAGTGAAAAAAAGTGTTCCTTTTTCCCCACAGCCTTGCCAACATTTGTTACCTGTTGCTTTCTTGATGGCAGCTATTCTTTCTGTGGTGAGATGAAATCTCAATGCTGTTTTAATTTTCATTTCTTGAATGACCAGTAATGGTAAACATTTCTTTATATATTTATTTGCTGTTTGTATATCTTCATCTGAGAACTGGGTGTTCATCTCTTTGAAGAGAGTCTTTGAATTTGGGGAGGCTTGATGTTTTTCAGTTCTTTATATGTTCTAGATATAAGTCCTTTGTCTGAGGGATTGTTGGCTAGAATTTTTTCCCAGTCTGTGGGTTTTCTTTTCATTTTATTGGTGATTTCTTTTGAAGTGCAAAAACTTTTTAGTAATATGAGATCCCAGTTGTTGATTCTTTGAAGTATTTCCTGTGCAGTTTGCATTTTATTCATGAATTCTCTGCCTACCCCTGTGTCTCCAAGATTTTTACCTACCTCTAGTAGATTTAGTGTTTCTGTTTTTCTCTCTCCGTGAGAAAGAAATTATGGAAATATCTTGGAAATTATGGAAATATGGGATATGTGAAATGCCTTTCACAATAGCATCTAAAAAATTGAAATACTTAGGAATCAACCTAACCAAGAGTGTAAAAGACTTATATGCTGAAAATTATACTACTCTAAAAAAAGGAGATTGAAGATATTAGAAAATGGAAGGATATTCCTTTTTCTTGGTTAGGAAGAACCAACATTGTGAAGATGGCCATACTCCCCAAACTAGTATACAGATTCAATGCAATCCCAATCAAAATACCATGAACATACCTTACAGGTCTAGAGAAAATATTCCTAAAATTCATCTGGAAACAGAAGAAACCTGGAATAGCAATGGTAATTCTGGGCAACAAGGGCAAGGCAGGAGGCATCTCAATTCCTGACTTTTGAAACTATACTATAGCGCCAGAGTGATAAAATCAGCATGGTACTGGCAAAGAAATAGACCTGAGGATCAGTGGAACACATTAGAAGATTCAAACACTGCTACAAAGACACTCAGCCACCTGATGTTTGACAAAGGGGCTAAACATGTTCATGAGAAGGATAGCCTCTTTAATAAATGGTGTTGGAAAAATTGGCTTTCCACATGCCAAAGACTAAAAATAGACCCATGCCTACTACCATACACTAAACTAAAAGCTTACCTTGCTTTTTCATGGCTGATAAGCAGTGTGAAGCAGTGTTACGGAGACAGGAAGCTAAGGCTTGGCTAAAACTGCCTGGGGAAGCAGGCATGACAAGATCCCAGGAACATATATGCAGAACAGTTCGCTGAAGCCTGCATGTAGACTTCTCATGAGAATTTGAGCAGGTTTTTGATAATATGACTCTACACATGACACCAGTGTGGGTCACATGTGAGGAGGCAGTTGCTGTGAATCACTCACTGCCGTGTCTCTTCATGGGAGCCCACCTTACATATTATGGTATCTTTTTATTTTTATTTTTATTGTTTCTCCTTTTTTTGTCCCTTTTTGCTTGGCTCACACTTGCTCTGCAGAATCCACTCCCTGCTGACCCTACTGATTTTTCTCTTACGTTTAATAAATGTGAAAGCTTGCCACCATTTATAATTGTTCTGTTGAATTCTTTGGGAGAGAGAGGACCTAGAATCACCTCTAAAAGGAGACTTCAGCACTCTAGAATTCAGGACCATAATTTGGCAAGCCAGCCAAGAGAAGAGGTAAGGCCCTGTGGGCACCTTATTTTTCCCTCTTTTTTCTCTCTCTTTCCTAGGCTGGGAACCTTTCTCTTGGCACTGAGTGTTGCTTCCTGCATATCTCAACATGTGGGGAAAGGAGATACATGGCCTCTATGTTTTTCTTCCAGCCATAAAAGACCTATAGGTCCATCCCAAGTTTATTTCCCATTTTCTTGGTTTTTCCATTTGCAGTCACTCGGCCAATATGAATTAAGTAGCCAGAGAGCCTGTTATTAAACCCTTTTGTCCCACTATTTCTGCTCTCCATGTATGTTAGGGACCACAAATTCACAATGGCTAATTTTTCATACTTTCCTAAGGGATGAATGGAGATTTGGAACTATCAGTATCATCCATGTGAGATTTCCTATGAATTCTTCAGGGATGGGCCAGCCTCTTCCACCCACTAGGGCTAAACCTAACACCACTAAATTAAAAACACTCCAGGGCACGATCCTTCTTAGCATAAGATCATTTCCACCCTCTTTAGTCATCCCAAGGTTATTCTTGCCCTTTGAGTCTTAGCCCTCTGAGTCTTTTGTCAATTTTGAATCTTCTGCTAACCCTGCCTATCACTGTACACACCCAAAAAACTGGCTGTTTTGGAGGTTGCTCTTTTGGTCCACCTGGAGGCATTGGCTTCCCAGTCACTCATCATGTATAACTAAATTTATGTCTGTTTCTTATTTTATCCTCTTGCTGTGCCCTTGATTCAGGCAACTGGGGATCTTGGACAGATCCAACATAATATCTTGCTACTCGTTTGAGAAATTAGCTTAGTCTCTGCCTTCCCCAGTTTACTGCTTTTGAGCTCAGAATCCCACCCGTGCTTTCCCCCTACATGTCCTTTCTTTCTCAGGGTGCTGTCTTAGTCTGGGTCACCATTTTGGTCATCACATGGCTTGGCCTTTCATGTTACTGAACACTATTTTGGGTCAGCTACTATCATGTTTCTTTACCATTTTTTTCTTTTTTTATCAGTTTGTTTAGGAGATAAACTTTTGATTTTAAATAACGTGGGCTTTCTCCTTCCTCTCTTTTAAGTTGGCCTAAATTTCTTGCTTCTTTCTTTCTTTTTTTTAATTTAAAGAGGGTAAAACTAAACATAACAAAACAGAACAAAGGGTCTTGAGACAAGAAGACAGTGACTTGTTAGGTAGCTGGGTGGAGAGCCTCTCTGGTAAAAACAGCTCAGACGCTGGAATTTGACAACATGGAAAGGGCCAGACGAGGGGAAAGGGATTTTCGCGACCCAGGAGCAAACTGAA